AAATCTAATGGTCCATTAACTAAACTACTAAAGCCCTAAATCTAATGGTCCATTAAGGCATTAACTAAAGCGGTAAACTGGTAAAGCCCCAAATCTGTGACCTTATTTGATTTAGGTTTADGTTATACAAATTGATCATTCTTTTCTGTTTACTGTTTAGTTGATTATTTACTTGATTAATTATTTAGGTTATACAAATGTTACTTGATTAATTGTTTAGGTTATACAAATTGATCATTCTTTTTTGTTTACTGTTTACTTGATTAGTTGATTAATTGTTTAGGTTATACAAATTGATCATTCTTTTTTGTTTACTGTTTACGATGTTTAGGTTTCATATGTTGATAAGTTGATTAGATTTACTTATTTATATTACTCATTACTGATTACTGATTAATGATTACTTGTTCAGAGACCAATGTGGGAATCATGGGATACATGCATTTGTGGCAACAAGAAAACATCTTTCTCATCCTTTAGTCTATCGGTTATTGAAACTAACACTGGTTTTGCCTGTTGCAACTGCTACGGTTGAAAGATGCTTTTCGGCGAGGCTTTTATTCCACCCACACCCAAGTCCGAATCATATTAGTGTCATTTTCTTAGTCAAACGGTGCCACCGTTTGAAAAAAAATTTCCGTATATTTGTTTCTTATAGTCAAACGGTGTCATCGTTTGAAAAAAAAATTCATATATTTTTTTTCTTATGGTCAAATGGTGCCACCGTATAAAAAAAATTATGGGTCCGTCCCTGCTCATATACCAATGTTCGACTCGGCTTGATAGAAAATTTCTTAATCGAGTCGAGCGGAGCTATTCAAGTATACACTTTTTCAAATCAAACATGTTTATATGTTCATAAATTATATAATCAGATTATAAACAGATATCGAGCTCGAGCCGATAAATGAGTTATTCAATCCTAAGCTCGAACCCATAAACGAGCTTAAAACACTTGAACTTCGGGTATGATGTATAACTCAAATTTGTTGATGGGCAAGGAGTTTGAGCTCATAGTTTTGAAAATTTATATGAACTCGAACAACCTGCTACTTGACTCGGCAGTTACTGAGTTCATCATTTGTTTTTCCCCTATGTGCATGGTTCACTTCAATCTAGAAGCCTTTCAACGATGTTCTCCTTCCTGCAAACCAACAGAAAATTCCACATTTTGATAAATTCGGTTTATTAATATAATCTTATATTTTATAAAAATAAAAGAAAAGTCTGAAAAACCCTAATAAACTTTTGTATTTTGAATGATTAAATCAGATGACATTTTTTAACAAATAAATACTTAGGTCATGTTTGGTTTTATTGAATGGATACAATTTGGAATCCAATTCCATTCAAATCCCATATTTGATTTGAATGATTACTTGGATTTGAAAACCCGTGGGAGTTGTTGGTATTTTGAGAGACTTTGTAGAATTTTTGTGTAATAATGTTTTAAAAAATATGTTGAAAATATTTGTTTTATAAATAATTGATTAAAAAAAGTAATTTAGTTATTTTTATAATTATTTATAATTTGTTTTTTAAATTATTTATAAAAATGGAATTCAATCTCTAGTAGGTTATGTGAGAAGCGTAATAAGAGATCTTAAATCCACATTTGGATCAATCCTAATTGAATGTCAACAATGATGAGATGCACCAAGATGCACTGGATCAATTCATTTTTAACGTGCAATTCATGGTTGGAGATGAAATTAAAAGTGATCAAGAGTTCAGATCTCTTCTTACGCAACTCACCATAATTTCCCTTCTCACACGATCCTTTGCATTCACTCCCATTCCAAATTCTACAAACCAAACATATCAAATATTCCAAATCGTTCCAAATCCATATCCTTCTAATTCCAAATCTTTTCACGAAATCCAAATCCATCAAAACAATTCCATCAAACCAAACACCCTTTTAGACTTTTTGAAACATGATAAATACATCATTAAGACCTATAATAATGGGAAAAATCGTCAAAAACTCAATGGACTTTCAAATTCTGAGCAAATAAGTCCATGGACATTTTTTGAACAAAAAAGCATATATACGATACACATTTTCAAAAATTTCTAATGGGCTCAAATATATCGTACTCACAAGAATCCCAATAACGAAGAACTTCCGATTATGACGATAATCTGCCTATTAGAATGCCACCAAACACAATAGCTCCAAACCACTTGTTCGACACAAATCTAAGACCAAACAAAAACAGTTTAATCAATTGACTAAAACAACCATCATATATATATATATATATATATATATATATATGTGTGTGTGTGTGTGTGGAATGACATAGGTATATCAATTACATACATATACATACAGGGGGGGGGGGGAGTTCATTTAAGAAGTAAAGAAGTGGTTCTAGCCCTTCATCTTGTCAACATTTGATGCTGACCGTGAAGCACCAGATAATTACTCACATGAGTATGCGGAAGATAGAAGGATAATTTTGTAACTTTTACATATAGGCAGTAAACGAGTTTATATGTGAACCCATGTGATGCATATGAACTATATGTTCATATATAAATAGATTAAATAGTTCATATGTAAATCACACGGGTTCATATATGAATCAGTCAATTAGATCATATGTGAAACACATAGGTTTATATGTGAATTATTCACATATGAACACATAGTTCATATGTGAATCACATAGGTTCATATATCAACCTGTTTGCCGCCTATGTAAAAGTTACGAAACTACCCTTTCTATTTTTCGCATAACCGCAATCTTTGACTAGTCAAAGCCGCAATTTGACCAGTCAAATCTGATCTTGACCGTATGAAAGGCTAGGATCACTTCTTTACTTCTCAAATATTTACCACTTCTCAAAATAACCTTTGCTATATATATATATATATATATATACACACACACACACAGGCGAAGGATCGTGTGAGAAAAAGAGTTAACGTGAGAAGCGTAAGAAGAGATCTGAACCCTTAATTACTTTTAACATCATGCCCACCCATGAATTGGGCTTAAGAAGAAAATTGATCTGGTGTATCTCGGTGCACCTCATTAGTGTTGACATTCAATTAAGATTGATCCAAGGGTGGAGATCTCATCTTACACTTCTCACCATAACTTCTCTTCTCATCGGAACCCAACCCTATATATACATATGGGTAAAATGCATCAAAATTGCAACAAAGTTCCTAATTAGTATAACAAATAATTCTTTTTTCTCAATCAATGTAACATAGTTTCAAAATTTCCTACCTTTGTACCTATTTTAACAGTTAACCTATTAATCTTGTAACATTTGATGATGTGGATACTTGCTTAGTAGAGGGTGAAAACAAATTGGACGATAAAATCTTGACATCCACGTCATCAAATGATACAAGTTCAGACTTATAGGCCAAAATGGATAAAGAAATAGGAATTTTTGAAACTTTGTTACATTAATTGAGAATTTTTTTTAATGTTACACTAAATAGGAACCAAGACAAACTCAGACTCGCTACAGTTTAACGCATTTTGCCCTATATACATATTCAGCACATGAGAAGACCATAACGAAGCCAAGGGGTAATAAGAACTCCACTGCACACAAATCTTTTGAACTAAAGTTTCTGTTTTTGAGGTTAAGATGAGTAAATTAAAGTATAAGCTGCTGCATATTTTCAGATTCACTTACTTTCTACTGCAATCAGCTCCAGAAGATATGTCTACCGTCCAAATTTGCCACGCTAACTGCCCGGATGCTCCTGCTAAAAACACATAATACGGCCATCCTGCATGGGGATGCCATTCATATCAGCAGTATTCCCTTTGTGCCATGAAAATTAGGCAGAATGCAACAAAGTTCCAAATTTTCCTATTTTATACATAATTTTGACTGAAAACCTGATGATCTTGTAGCATTTGATGATGTGGCGTTTACAAATTTTATGAAAGGTTTATGGAATGCTTACAGCAAAACGGACGATAAACTTGACATCCACGTCATCAAATGTTACAGTCAGTAGATTACCAGTCAAAATGCAGTAAAAAGAAGAAATTTTGAAACTTTATTACATTAAATAGAAGACTTTGAAACGTTGTTAAATTAATTGTGAAATTTCTTTTGTTACACTACGTAGGAACTAAGGCAAATTTCATTACATTTGGATGTCTTGTCCATGAAAATTAATAGCACTTTCTTGTTTGGGATATTTAAAAAAATTACCATTTTCCTTTTTAAAAGATTTCAAGTTCAATAACCTATTTGCTCATCATCGTCATTATGAATTTATCAATAGGCATCGATTTAGGTCCACATATTCTCTTATTTATTTGTCCAGAAAACCTTTTTGCAAGCCGAGGATCTCCACCGAGATAGCTCTACTCCTAGAGATATAGGTAAGTTCCGGATACATCTTACCCTCCACAGACCCTCCACTGTTTGGGATCATTTGGGTGCAATTATTTCTAGTATGGAATAAGTCAATCATCCACTTTGGTATCTTATTGAACAGAAGTGGTGATATTTGAGCAAAAGGTTGATTACCGGCGACCCCGACCGGCCCACACGGGATCCGCCCCCTAGGAACCACATGTGAGAAGGTATTTCGGAGCTGACTCAACGGCTAAGGCTAGCAGAAGGGTTCAAGCCCTTCTCCCGCATGATTTGAACTTAGCTACACTCCCGGGGGCAACAAACATGGTGATATTGTTCCTCCATATTTGTAGATAAATAAGGATTTCTATTTGTTTGGTCAGGTTTGGTTCCTATTCACTTTTTTGTCTTTGCTAAACGGGAAGTAATGCCTACGGCAAATGGTCGAACATTTTAATTAAACTAAGTGTTAAGTCAAACTTTGTAATCTTCATGGAATAAAGTAATGACATCAGAGTTGAGATTCAAACTGACAGTAAAGTATTACCGATATTTGCATTGAAGCCGCTGAGCGCAAGACCACTAATGCAAGCGATTCCAAATCCGCTGACCCACTTCTTTGTGGAATCCCCGAATCTCAAGGCCGTAGACTTAACTCCCACTATCTTATCATCTTCTTTATCCTGGATACATGTAATCAACATACACAAAGGATGAAGGACTAATCTAGCATATGTGATTGAATTCACTATCCGATCCATAATCAACAATATTAAGGTATAATATAGTCACGCTTCTGTTTTCTGTTTTTCATAATTTCCTTTATGTTTGTCAAGATAGTCTCAACATTTAAATGAAAAACCGCAACCATTTACTGTTTCAGAAAATCAGAACCCTTCTGCAATTTGTTTCAATGTTATCATGGTTTAATGAGTTTAACTATAAAATGCGACTAATTAAATTTAATGAGGTTATAACCTATAGGGCTGTCATTTAATGATTTAAAATCCATTTTCTACTAAATACTGATATGGTGTACCAAAAAGATGCCTTTTTACCTGATGGGCATATATTGTATCGTAAACAAGTGTCCAACATACTCCAGAAAGATAAAGCGGCAACACAACAGCAGGATCAAGGCTTCCTCTAATGGCAGACCATCCCAATAAGGCTCCCCAGTTGAAAGTTAAACCAAGATAGGCTTGAGGCTGACAACAAGTTCCAAGATTGCGATGAATCAAGTAGTCCAAGAAACTAATAAAACTAAAAAGATGAAGATAAAATTTATGAAATAAAAGTGAATATTTTACCCAAAACGTAATCCTTTTCATAAGGGGATACGAAAAGACGAGTAGCAACGAAGAAGCCCCCAATATGCGGCTGTAAGAAATCAGTTTTATTCATCAACAGAAATGTGGATCATTCATTAGAGTTGAAAAATAGTATGCCAGAAGTAGCAGGTGCACACTCAAATGTACAGCATATTGTTATGAAGGAAGAAAACTTTCAAGAGTAACATTTTTTGAGGATTATATGCAAATAAAAACATTAAAGCTACTAGAAAACAAGATAAAGCCAGGTAGAATACGGACCTATAGTTGTTAAGCTGGAGAAGGATGCCAAGACCCAAAAGCAATTGCAAACCAAGAAAGCCAACCCCCTGAAATGGGGTCAAGGCACCGCTTGCAACTGGTCTGGACCTCGTTCGTTCCACCTGCATCACATAGGTTGATCATCATTTTGTAGGAAATGTCAAAGACCAAATTTGACATTCACCAATAGCTTATCACTTTATCACTGACTCCTAATCCCGAATCATATAATCTTGCAAGAATACGTTGATACCGTACAGTTTGCAGCACACATCTATCAAGTGAGATAAACACCCTTACTTCTATTCAACTACACATGTGTGTGTGTGTGTATATATATATATTCTGATCCTTGATAGTAGTAGCAAACAGACTAGAAGAATGGGCAATTATATGTATTGAAGAAGATGGTTCTGGATTTTTTAAACATAAAAATTGACTGAAGTTGAGAAATATGATAAATAATCACAAGGCAAGGAGGAGGAGCCTTGATCCCAACTTGTTTGAAGTGTTCAAATGGTGGACTAAATGGCACTATGGCTGAGTTTATAAATCATTTACAATCAGAACGAGATGGAGCAACACACGTAGCTGTATTCCTTTAGCAAGCAAAATCATATATTTATTTAAGTGTTACTCCCTGTAAAACATAAGAAATTGCAAATATTGAACATCAGAATTTGTGATGCCTATATTTATAAAAACGTGTGCTTGGATACGTAGAAATTCAGATTTGACTAGAACTAAAAGCTAGAACATCTACTCTATTAATGCTTGATGAGTGTATGAGTGATACATATATATTAAAAAAATGTGATTTTACACTTCTAAAAATGCTTTCCCTGAACCAACATAAAATCCATAGTTGATATATTTTTCAATTCAATCAGACATCAAACTCACACAAAAAATTCAATCCACTCACAGACTGAAACATAAAGATTCAGATGCTGACATATGTTTGCTAGATGTATGTGCTGGACATTTATGTTAAAGTTCCAAAGTTAGTAAAAATTCATAGCGGACAAGAGTTCCCATAATGAAAAGGGTCACAGAAGCAACCAATGCCCTACAGTTGTCCACAAGTTAAGTCTCTATATCCCAAAACCATACACAACACTAACGTAAAGATTTTGCACCAGAAGTAGATTGCTTTACAGTTGTCCACAGTCTCAGTCTTTATATTCCAAAAGACAATACACAATACAGAGTCGAAACATAAAGATTTTCACCAAAATCAGCATGAAGCTTTTTAGAGGCACTGGTTTTAATTGTGGTCAACATAATTGGAATGAAACTCTTTAGAGACATTGATTTTAACTGTGGAGTTGGCCGTTCTTTTCCTCTTCCTACATGTGTAGTTGTTTGTCTTTTGCTTTTGGCATGTTCCAAAGTTCCTCCCTCATGGGGTTTTTTGCGGATATGCCCCTTTGATCTTTGAAATATTTCTTTTATGTATCATTGGACAGGGCGAAACTGTGAAGTTCATGTTGCCTCTGGTGTCACGGGACACCATGCAACTTTTACAAATATTATATTATATAGTGTAATTACCATCATAAAATGCAAATCAATATCATAAAAACAAAAACCTTACGGTTAAATATTTAAAATACCCGAATCAATACCACCGACTCAATAGTAATAATAGTGAGTAAATAGGTTATAGGTAAATCTCAAGATGAAAATTTGCAAAAAGATAATACAATTTTCTAAAACATTAAAAACAACCATAGTAGTCTTTGTGAAACTACGGATGTAATTTTTGTATGAAAATTTTCAAAAGAAGGTGACACCACAAGTCAAGAATCCTGGTTCCACTCCTGTGATTTGGGTTAAATAGATTTTTTTTTGTTTCTTGATCAAATAAAGCCCATCCATCACTATAGGCAACCTAAGTTTAAGTAGTTTAACAAAAAGTAACAATAATGCTTAAGCGAAGTTAAAATATTTTGTACCATTTATATTTTCATCAAAGATGATTTTCTCTTTGTGTTTTCTATATATACTCCCTCCATCTTAAAGAAATGCAAATTTTAATTAGGCACATAGTTCAATGGTTAGTCATTGACTAATAATCATTTACCCAAAATGGCCCTTAAATGACCATGTTTAATATCACCAATATCTTGTAACTATACTAGGTAAAGTTGGATTCTGATATTACCAAAAAAAGGTAATGTAGCATTCTTTTGGGACAGCCCAAAATGGAAGGTGCTTTTATGGGATGGATGGAGTATACGATTATCCCAAAGGGATGTACAATTATGACACCTTGCAATTCTGATAATAGAAGTTTTTAAACCTTTGTATCAATATCCCGGTCAAGTAGATCATTGATAGTACATCCTGCACCCCTTAATAGAAAGGCTCCGCAACCAAATAGTGTCAACATCTTCAAATCAGGAAGGTGTCCAGGGGATGCTGCTAACGTGATTGACCTAGATTCACAAATGAGTTAGGCGAATATGTTAATTCCTACATAAATTTACCTCAAGCTTCTGACGTTGGCAGCCAACTCAATCTAAAAAACCAAATTGTACTTCCTATTCCAAATTACCTAATGCAAATTTGCAGTTTATGCAACAAAAGAGTAATAGTTCTAGTTGGAAAATGGTATCACCAGAACAGTAGCAATATAACAGCCAACATGCTTTTACCCCAAAGTTTATACTTGGGTAGGGAAATCTCTCTTTCCAAGAATTCCTTTTACCCAGCTTGTCTTAATAGAATTTTTCCTTGTACGGGTACAATCGGTTGTTGTGGTAGCACACATTCAAGTAACAGTCTTGATTTTCGAAAACCAACAAGTCAAAAGAGAATTTTCTACTTGGGTAGAGAATTCACCTTTTTTTTCTAGTACGAGTGCAATTGGTTGTTGTGGTAAGCACACATTCAAGCCATAGTCTGATTTTTTAACCAACAAATCAAAAGAGAAGTTTTATACTTGGTGGGGACATTATAGTTTTTGAAAATGCCTTTTCCTAAGCTTTTTTTGAATAGAAACGTTGCTATTACAAGTATGATTGGTTTATGTGGTAAGCACACATTAAACCCATGGTCCCAATGTTTGACAACTAGCAAGTGAAAGAGCCTCACTGATCATATTGCACACTCTATCTATACTCCATCTATACTTCACAATATTTCTTCCTTGATTAAACATATAAACATTAATACACTTCGTCAATTTGTTCCACCAACACTAAAAAGCCTTCAGGCCTCACCACCAATATAACAATGAGAAGTTTTCCTTGAACTTCTGGTAAACCTCCTATATGTTTCACGTATAAGAGAAGGGTTAATTAGGAAGAGTCCTTTGTCTTGTTAGTAGTGGGTGAGTATAATAGTCTAAGGGCCTTTTGGGGGTTTTCCCTTTTGGAATTAGGAGCGGGATCCTTTATTTGTTGAGGGGAGCACTTTCTGTTGGGCATGCGGTTTTTTTGAGTAAATATAAATCGAGCTTAGGCTATGGGAGAGACCTGGGCCTCTAGAAAGCCATAGGAGTATACTTTCAATTCGAATTCAATCAAATGACACCAAATTTACACCAAATTGGTATTAGAGCAACAACGATTTAGGGATGGGGACTCGAAGCGTGGCAACACGTATTGAAAAATTGGAAAGAAGTGTTGGTTCGATCGAGAAAGGGATGCAATCGATTCTGGAAATGATGGAGAAAATCCTAAAACAACATAATGAAGTGACGAGCAAGTTTAATTTGTTACCAACGACAAAAGGCGGTGACTCATCTGGTTCGAATGAAAGAAAGAGAGAAGGAGAATTTCATGATCCAAATCATTTTTTGGCAGTGAAGGTCAGGAAAATGGAGATTCCAGCGTTCGACAGAAACGATCCAGATGGTTGGATACTCAGGGTTGAGAGGTGTTTCACTTTGAATCGACTAAATCAGGAAGATAGGATCGATGTTGCCTTTATTGCTTTTGAAGGCGATGCTCTGAAGTGGTTTCAATGGGAAAATAAACGACATCCGATCACTAGACGGGAGGATCTAAAACATCTTCTGTTGAGGCAATTCAGATCATTGGCATCCAGCTCCCTATGTGAACAATTTCCGGCGATTAAACAAGGAAGGGACGATCGACGAATACCGGAGTAAATTCGTTGAGTTGGCTGCTCCTTTGGACGGAATTCCAGAAGAGGTGTTTCTGAGCCAATTTATTAATGATTTAGAAAACTCAATCAAGGCAGAGTTACGATTGATGAGCCCGATTTCATTGAGTGAAGCTATGGAGAAAGCATCGAAGATCTAGGTGAAGAATAAAATGATGGGTAGGGATCGAATGATAGTTACGAACAAGAGGAACACCAATCCCATCTTGGAGACTAGAAGTAGTTTCATCGTTTTCTATGGCATCCTCTGCTACCATGGTCAAACCGGATCGGAATACAGGAGATTATCCGCTCAGGAAGTCCAACAGAGACGATATCTCGGCCTTTGTTATAGGTGTGACGAGAAGTATTCTCCGGGGCATAAGTGTAAAAAAAAAATTAATGTTATTTGAGTACAGGAAGACTCGATAGAGGAGGAAAACGATGATGAGGAGGAAAAGGCATTGAATATAGTGGACGTCGTAGATCTTGGATAGAAGGTCGAAATTCATCTCAATTCAGTGGTGGGCCTCACTAATCCGAAAACGATGAAGATGGAAGGCGCTATCGGTGATCAAAAAGTAGTGGTGCTTATAGACAGTGGGGCTACTCACAGTTTTATCTCGAAAGAGGTAATGATTAAACTGGAGCTAACGGTGGAGAACACGAGAGAGTACACGATAACTATGGGAACCGGCATAACCGTGAAGAGAGAGGGTGTTTGCGGGCATGTGACGTTGTCGATACAAGGACTGGATATAGTAGAAGATTTCTTACCAATTCAATTAGGAAACAGTGATGTGATTTTGGAAATGCAGTGATTAGAAACACTTGGTGCCATATTTACGAATTGGAAACAACAGATTATGAAATTTAAGATCGGAGGGAATCTGTGTCGTTGCGGGGTGATCTGTCTCTTGGCAGATCTAAAGTATCGTTAAAAGCAATGGGGAAGGTTATTCAACAGGAAGGTCATGGGGTGTTAGTTGAACTGGGCTCTTGTGAGTCTGTGCAAGGAAGCCCGAAGCAAGTAAAATTGGCGGAGACTGCACTTGATCCGCTGCTGCAGGAGTTCGATCAGGTTTTCCACATGCCAACGGGACTGCCACCAGTCAGGGATAAGGAGCACGAGATTGTGTTGAAGGAAGGGGCTGAACCAGTGAACGTGAGACCGTATCGTTATCCACATTATCAAACGGACAAGATCGAAAAATTAGTCAAATAAATGATGGAGACAGGTGTGATTCAACCAAGTGCGAGTCCGTTTTCGAGTCCCGTCTTGTTGATGAAGGAAAAGGATGGTAGTTGGAGATTTTGCATCGATTACAGAGCCTTAAACAAGGCTACGGTACTAGATAAATTTCCTATACCGGTCATTGACAAGTTGTTGGATGAACTTCACGAGGCTCAAGTGTTTTCAGAACTTGACTTGAAGTCTGGATACCATCAGATCATAATGAAAAAAGAGGATGTACACAAGACTGCATTTCGACTCATCAAGGACATTACGAATTTCTCGTAATGCCTTTTGTCCTGGTTAATGCTCCGGCTACTTTGCAAGGATTGATGAACAGGGTTTTTAATGGTATTTTAAGGAAGTTTGTGCTGGTGTTCCGACATACTTGTGTACAGTAAATCGATGGAGGAACACTTGGGGGATTTGAGAATTGTTCTAGGGATATTGTCCCAGAATCAGCTTTATGCTAACAAAAAAATGTGAGTTCGGTCGAGGAAAACTAGGCTACTTGGGCCACATAATTTCGAGGGATGGGGTTGATGAGTCAAGGTTAGAGCCATTATGGATTGGAAGATTCCGGCGACAGTTACAGAATTACGAGGATTTTTGGGAATGTCCGGGTATTATTGGGAGTTCATACAAGGTTATGGCATGGTGGCTGCTCTGTTCACAGAATTGCTTAAGAATAATCAGTTTCAATAGACTGTTGAGGCTCAATATGCCTTTGAAGGACTGAAGAAATTACTTTCAACTGCCCGATCTTACAGTTGCCCGATTTTTCGGTCGATTTTGTTATTGAGACGGACGCATCAGGGTATTGGTTGGGGGTTGTCCTGATGCAAAACGAGCAACCAATAACCTATTTTAGTCAAGCATTAGGGATAAAAGCCAGACAGAAGTCTGTGTACAAAAAATAATTGATGGCTATCGTTTTTGCAGTTCGGAAGTGGAGACTGTATCTGTTAGGAAGGCACTTTGTTGTGCGAAGTGACCAACGTAGCCTTCGATTCCTATTGGAGCAAAGGGTGGTGGAACCTGGAGTATGATAGGTGGATGAATAAGTTGTTAGGTTACGATTTTTTGATTGTTTACAAACCTGGAAGTGCAAATCGGGCTATTGACGCTTTATCTCGAAAAAAGAATTTGATTGAATGCTCCAGCATAGGTGGATTGTAGTGGAGACAATGGGTAGTGTGAAACAGGAAATTGAGGAGGATAACATTTTGAAAAAAATCAAAAATGATTTGTTGATTGATCCCAATGTTCATAAGGGATTTGTAGTACATCAAGAGCTCCTGTTATACAAGGACAGATTGGCCTTGCCTCGGAAATCACAGTTTATTCCCTTATTATTCGAAGAATTTCATGCTTCTCCGATCAAAGGTCACACCGGGGAGGATAGTACGTATCGACGAATAGCTCCCGAAGTCTTTTGGGTGGGAATGAGGAAGGACAATAGTGATTTGGTAAAAAATTGTGAAGTATGCCAATGGAACAAGAGTTTAAGCGAAACCCCAACGGGATTATTACAACCGTTAGCCTTGCCTTCTACTGTTTGGGAAGAAATTTCGATGGATTTTATAGAAGGCTTACCGCGATCAAATGGTATGAGTTCTATTCTGGTTCTAATGGATCATTTTAGTAAATATGCTCACTTTGTGGGACTAAAACATCCTTTTGATGCTTGGTCCATCGCTGAAGTGTTTGTACAAGAGATTATCAGGTTGCATGGGGTTCCTCAGTCAATAGTTTCGGATCGAGATAAGATTTTTCTCAGCATGTTTTGGAAAGAATTATTCAAGTCGCAGGGCTTGAAATTGAAGTATAGTACAACCTACCATCCCCAAACAGATGGCCAGGTGGTCAACAAATGTTTAGAGCAGTATTTGAGGTGTTGGAGTGTCGGACAAACCGAGACAATGGAGTAAATGGCTGGCGTGGGCATAATTAGCTTATCACACTTCAATCAAATGTGCTCCGTTTCAGGTGCTATATGGTCGAGATCCACCCCCATTATTACGATATAGAGCCCTCATCCAATTTATAGTCGGAGAACAGGAGCTGCTCAATAGAGACGAAATCTGGGATGAAGTTCGAATGCATYTATTGAAGGCTCAATGCCRGATGAAACAACAAGCTGATTTGAAACRAAAGGAGGTRGATTTTACAMCSGGAGATTGGGTAYTTCTGAAGTTAYGTCCYTACCGGCAGAARTCRTTGGTCAAAGGAAATAATCCCAAGTTATTAGCTCGATTTTATGGCCCTACAAGATTTTGGAAAAAATTGGCAAGGTAGTTTATAGGCTGGAGCTGCCAATAGAGGTCAAAAGACATCCTGTGTTTCATGTATCACAATTGAGACAAGCTCTGGGCAATTGTATGTCAGCTCAGAATGTTCTTACTAGGTTGTCGGAGGACTTAGTGCTACAAGCAATGCCAGAGGATTTGTTGGATGTCCGCCCTTTGGCTCACGGTGATCCTGGCCAGTTAGAGGTGTTGGTTAAATGGAAAGGGCTCTCCGATTTCGAGTCCTCGTGGGAATAGTTGGAACCTCTGCTGCAACAGTTTCCTAATGATCACCTTGAGGACAAGGTGAAATTTTTGGGGGAGTATTGGTAAACCTCCTATACGTTTCACGTATAAGAGAAGGGTTAATTAGGAAGAGTCCTTTATCTTGTTACTAGTGGGTGAGTATAATAGTCCAAGGGCTTTTTGGGGGTTTTCCCTTTTGGAATAAGGAGGGGGATCCTTTATTTGTTGAGGGCAGAGCTTTCTGTTGGGCATGCGGGTTTTTCGAGTAAATGTAAATCAAGCTTAGGCTCTGTAATTTCAATCTGAATTCAATCAAACGACACCAATTTACTCCAACTTCACTGCAAAGTGTAATTCTCCATCGGGTTTTCAAGGGGTGGGAGACTCATGCAAATTGACATCAATAGCAAATTTGTATAAACATACACTATTTCCTATTTACCGTCATAATGCTTCATGACTTATAAGTTTCTAAAGGAAAATCCTTCTATACATGAACTACATAATTTTTTTAATTCTGTTGCATAAAGGAGTTCCAACTGTCCCATTTATCTCTCACCGGCATAACAACTATCATCATAAGGGTACAACCACCATGTAATTGTTGATACTCCATTTGTTCCACAATTAGAGTCCACTTAGCCAAATTTATTAATGGAGCGACTTATAGGAACCCTTTTTTTGTATTTTTTTCTCGCCACATCATTGGCAACTCACAAAATTAAGAATCTCCATAAAACCCCACAATTGAGTGACTTACAAGAACCTCTATTTTTTGGGTCTCATGTACTTTTTTCACCTTTAATTTTTAATTGTATTTTCTTAAATCAATCAAAAAACTAATAAACTAAGATTTCACACAAAATTCAAGGTAAAAACTAAATTTCTTGTACAAGAACTCAAAAATAAGGATGACTTATAAGAACTGCAATGTTTGCTTATAAAAACCCACCATTGGAGACACTCTTTAAGATTATAGATATATGAAGTGATGAGTGGTCAATGTGAGGATGTTTATCATTTTACACTGAATCAGAGTCTTATATGGAGCTTTTCGCTTCTTGTCTTGTCCTGCAGAGTGAACTCTAACTAAGGTTTCTACTCCTGATTCTTCAGCATGTATGTGCCCCCCCCCCTCCCTGCCTTACAAAAATGTTAATAAAAAATGAGTACTTATTCCCTTCATTACAAGACAAGAACCACCTCTTTTCTACTTAACAAACCTTAACAAACCTCCATTTTCAAACCACAAAGTGACATGATATTACCATTCACAAGTATAATTTATGTTGGATTGCAATAAACACCATAACATAACCATCAAGTAATTGTTGATTGTGAAAACATAAAAATCTTCATAAACAAATTCAACTGTACGCAATAAAAAAAGTGTACACAAGTCTTACCACATACATGGCCAAGCAAGTAACCAAGTCCCAATAGGCTTATCCAGCCGAGCAAGATGTGCATACGGCCGTATCTTTTCAGGCAAATACAAATCAATCCAAGAAACGGAACCCTTGTTCTTCAACTCCAAATTGTTACTCTCGTCACGTTTTTCCTTTTCTTCATCCCTTAAACTATGTGAAGACGTAGAAATGCCAGAACTCTGACCTAATCTGATCAAATGAAAGTAATTGAACTTGGAATCATCGAAACTGGGAATGTACAATTCGTGATTCCGCCTGTTGGAATCGGAAAAATTGTCATAGTAATAGTGGTTTGAACTAGGTTTGGGAGGTGGTGAGTTTGTTAGATGAGGATTAATGGATTGAGAAAGTGCGAGTGAGAGATGATGATGAAGGGGTTGAAGATTACGAGAAGATCGAGATAAACGGAATAATAACGCCATTGTCAGCTAGGGATTTCAAAACACAAGAGATTAAAATTCAGAGCTTTGCATAATTTGTATCAAAGATCGACGGATTGAAGAAAATAACACTCCCTCATTCGCCGGAAACCTAGACCGGCGGCGCCGTCAGTGAAGTACAATAGTTGCACGAGCTTAAACTGCAGTTTAGAGCATCCAACGGTTTCTTGAAAACCGGGATTTTGTGCTTAAATTCTGTTTCTAACAGTTTTTAAAGACAATTCAAAAGGGATAAACTGGAAGAAAGATAGAGGGGGGATTGAATCGAGCGCGGTAAACGATACGAGACAATCACAAGCTAATTCGTGATTGACTCGATCATATACTCAACTTGAATAGATTCGGCTCGAACTCGAACTCGAGCTCGAACTCGAACTCTCGAGTTCGACTCGACATATTAACGAGTCAAGTCAAGCTACTCAATCCTCGAATCGAAAAGCTTATAAGATACTCGATTATTTTATATATAATTACTTTTAAAATATAATCAGTTTTTATGATAAAATTTGTAAAATATAAATAATAAAAATGTCTTATATTTTTAGATATTTAAATGAAATTATACATTTTTAATTATAAAAATTAATCAATTATTTTTTATTAAAATCACAATTAAAAAAAGATAAAAAAAACTATTAAAAAAGTTAATGAAATTGTCTCACATTGAAGGAGATATGGTAAAAAAAAAGAGAAAAAATGTTATAAAAAGATAGAGATGCGAATGAAATTTCTAACTTTTTCTTTTTTTATAATGAAGTTTGAAGTTGAACTCTTTAGTTTTATAAAAACTATTAAGAGAACATATTTAAGTTTTAAAATGTATAAAAGAAAGACCCTACAATTTCAATGGGGGAGCTTGGTTCGAGCTTGATTCGAGCTGATTTCGAGCTTGATTCCAGTTCGAGCTTGAGAAATAATTATCGAGTTCGAGTCGAGTTTTGATTTTTACTACTTGCGAGAAATTGGCTTTCGAGTTCGAACTTGGAAATTGGGTTTCAAGTTCGAGTCGAGTATAGTGATACTCGAGCTCGACTCGCATCATTTACACCCCTAATCGACACTCTAAAAATGATTATCAAAGTAGGACTAGTAACAAGTAGCCCAATGGTTAATCTGGTTTTTAATTCATTTAAAACTAGTTGTGTATCCGCGCAATGCATTGGGATGTAAAAGCTTCATTAAGATTTATCCAATGTCAAAAATATCAAATTCTTTCAAGATGTCAAAAAACCTACTACACCTGTATCTGTGTTATATTCAAAAAACCATCTATCCGAAATCTATTTTTATTCAAAATGATTAAAAATTACAAAATTATACATGAACTACTTTTACAAAAAGAATACGTCTACTCAAAATGTATTTTGAGTATTTTTTTCAGCTGAGACTTAATAAGCAACAATGATACAAACTGTAAGGTAGTATTCAGTACAGATTAGAGTAAACCTATACACCAACCATGCATGAAAACAAAGCAATCAAGATCCATATGATATCATATTATATGTTTGTTGGCTACAGTTACAACACAATCTTTTTTTCTCAGCAAAAAACATAAGGAAATAGTTATCAAGTCAAATTTATTGCTGATTATTAATAGTATTTGCAGAACATTGCTCATTTCCTATAGACATGATGTGGCGTTACTGAAAAGAGCTGCAACCCCGACACCATCACAGGATGAAGATAAAAAGATTTTGGTTTCATTAACGGGATTTTACCGGAACAAACAATTACTCCATCTCTTCATCATGTCGTTAAGATTAACAAGGTCCTGTAAGAACTGCATTCGTTCCACTGTTACTAACTGTTGTTCTATAATCCTCTACCTGATAGAAGCACTCTGCAGCCAACTTATTCTTTCCACGAGAATTAAATAGATTGGCAGCATCCTTAAAAAGCTTCTTCGTTTCCAACTGTGAAGTCGAAGGACTTTCAACAATTGCACAAGGTTGATACAGGGCATCAAAGTCGTTTACGGTGAATATAACAGCCTTCACTAGTAATTCATTATTCATTGTCATTGGTTCATCTACACTTTAAAAAACAGTAACCAAGGGACCAAGAGTTGTGTTTGTATCTAGAGTAAAACCATGACATTTGGTTCTAAAACAGTTTAAAAACCAGTCTAAATCGTCTCTTATTTATTAAAAACACCCCTTAATTGTCAAATCGATTTATACACTAAAAGACGAAATAACGATCAAACTACAAAAATCAGATATTATATCTGATTTTTGTCCCCCAAATCAGATACAAATAATTTTTTTCGTGTCCACAATTATTATAGAATATGAACATTCAGCATTTATAAAAAATATATTTCTTATAAAAAAATATAAGAACATTCATTGGTTAATTTATGCGTTTAAAAAAGTGGTAAATTTTTTAAATCTTCACGTACTTTCATATTGTTTTAAGGGTTGTCACGATTAATTGTTTTAAGGGTTGTCACGATCAATTGTTTTTACGGGTTACGGTTTGTGAGAGTAGAAGTGTTTTATTTTATAGAGTAAAACCATGACATTTGGTCCTAAAACAGTTAAAAAACCAGTCTAAATCATCACCTATTTATTAAAAACACCCCTTAATTGCCAAATCGATTTATACATTAAAAGACGAAATAACGGTCAAACTACATAAATCAGATATAATATTTGATTTTTGTCCCCCCAAATGAGATACAAATAATTTTTTTCGTCTCCACAGTTATTATAGAATATCAACATTTAGTGTGGTAAAAAAATACTTCTTATAAAAAAATATAACAACATTTGTTGGTTAATTTATGTTTATTTTAAAAAATGGTAAAAATTAGAAATCTTCACGTATAATCATATTGTTTTAAGGGTTGTCACGGTAGATTGTGTTCACGGGTTGTGAGAGTAGAAGTGTTTTACTTTATAAACTAAAATCATGACATTTGGTCCTAAAACGGTAAAAAAAAAACAGTCTAAATAGTGGTAAAAAATGGTGGATCGCCCACAGAGGTAGATCCGGTGAGGTGGGGGCTATCTCCTTAATCGAGGCAAACAATATTTGGTTTTCTAAAGTAGATACATGTGGGTCCCACCAAATTAATTTTTTATTATTTTTTTCGTACTATTTGGTCAAAATTGAGAGGATCGCCACCCATGGTCAAACCATGCCCCCCGAGGGGGATCCATATGGTCATTTTTGACAATTTTCCTAAAAAATGGCTATTTCGTTAATACATCAGATATATTCTGATCGTTTTGGTGATTTTCTCTAAAATATATGTATGTTCGAATTCCGAAATAAAGTTTCTGATAATAGAATTTGAAAATAAAAGGACAAACAAAATACGTTGCATTTAATATAATTTTTCATCAATAAATTTTACAAAAGTAAATTATAATTTGATTTTAATTCAGAATCCAAAAAAGTGAGATGAACAAGTGAAAAAATTATGAAACGGGTTAGAGTTTTAATTTGACATGAATAATTTAGTAATTTAAATTATATGGGTGGTGTCTGATTGGTTTGTGCTTGTACTCCAAAGATCAAAAGTGTCTGGAGGTCCCGGGTTCAAATCCAAGGAGGAATAAAAATCTTCTTGTGGCCACGGAGGTTCAAATGCGGTGACTCCGGGCTACCCGCAAAGCAGATGGTCATCCTGAGATTAGTTGGCTCACATAACAGATTATATATCCAGGTTAATAAAAAATAAAATTAAATTAATTTAGTAATTTATTGATTCCATCTATTATGATGGGATAAAAATAACCTATTTTTGTCTAATTTAAGTCTTGTTGTGTCTTAATCTAATGTCATGTAAAACTGGAAACGAGTTATTTTACACAACTTACCCAAACGACCAGATCAATAGGTGTAAGATTTTTGGTCCTTGTCATATTCATGCCTTCGTTCTTACTGGGTAAAATTTTTGGTCCTTGTCATATTCATCTGGTAAGGTAATGTTACTTGATAAGCGTATGAAGTAACAGGTTTAGAGTGGTTGAAAAGGCTTGACTTTCTCATTAATCACAAAGGTATTTAAAGATGATTACAAGCACTAACCAAGGAGAGAAATATGCTACAGTTACAACAATAACTTGACTACCTAAAATACATGCACTAATCAAGGAGAGAAATATGCTACAGTTGCAACAATAACTTGACTACCTAAAATACGCAATATTTGAATTTTGAAATATATATACATGGAACTAAATTAATATTATTTATGTATTGTTAATAAAGCGCTTACCAAGATTAAGTGTTTGGTAAACAACACCTTAACCATTTCAGAAAGCATAAAGCTTTTTAAATTAGACTCGGACATAGCTTTTTCAGAAAGCAAGTAGCTTTCTGAACATTTCTTGTATGTAACACAAAGGACAAACCGTTTTCTGATTAGGGGATTGCCCCTTGAAAACGGTTTGCCCCTTCTGCCTGCTAGGGGGGCAACCCCCTTGACCCTGCCATACGACAACATCATTAAATCTTCCAATTATAATTATAATTGCAGGCAAATAGGATTAGAAGCCTTAAAACTTCCATTTGATATGAAGGAAAAAAAGAATTCATTGTAATTTTCATGAACCAAACTGGAAAACAAGAATCCGACACTCAGTCAGGATCATTACAAACAAACATCAGGAAGTTGGTATAACACTGAAACAACAAACCAGAAGCCTATGTCAACTACAATTGGTATCTATGTACATTCATTCTTCCCAATCACTTGCATTAACTGGCTACCTACATTCAGAGCCACCATGGCTTTTCGCTTAAATCTTTTGAGAATACGTACCGGAATCTTGAATTATAAGGCAACCATTCGATCATCTGGGATGATTTCTTGCTGGTTTTATGCTCGATGCATTTCGTTATTGAATCGCCAAGCTTTTTGTCTACATTTTCGGTTATCCATTTGAGGAGATTGTCTGGAGAGATGTTGGTTTCTTTTCCAAATCTTTCGAGTAATTTGGGTATGAAAAGTTTCTTCGATTTCTTCACGATTATGTTTGATTGAAGAAATTCTCTCTTGGCTGCTTCTAGCTCCTCTTTGATGTTTGATGGTGTGTAGACCTTCAGCTGCCAAAAAGGATCCACATGTGATTAGATTTTGACCATTTCTCCTCAATATATGTTGGAACATACCTTCTTTTTTTAAGGGCTCTTGTGGAGAGTAATCTAATGGGTTTCCATATATTCTCACGTGGTATCAGAGCCAAGGTCTACCACTCTACGGACTCGACACTCTGGGGCAATCTATACCCGTCTAGCCCCCTCTCAACACTCTGGATATAATCTATGCCCGTCTAGCCTCCATTGGAGGGGGCATGTTTGGAGTCTCACATCGGCTAGACTTAGACTATTTCTCCTCTTTTGTTCTTTGGGAGAGTAATCTAATGGGGTTCCACATGTACTATAACATCCCTTTATCAATTTTTCACACAAGTAAGAACGTAGATGATAGAAACAAAGGAAAGATATAAAAGAATCAGAAACTTACCACAGGATCAGATGAAGTTCCTGTGCAAAGGGCAAAACACAAAAGGGGTTGGTACTCGAGACCAAACTTTGTACTGATCCGCTGCCTTTCTTCACCAGATTTTTTCCACAATGCAGTTGAAAGGATGGTCTCCAGCCACTAGTATTAATTCATATAAAACCAAAATTAATGTAAAAAATTTCATAACACACAGAACTTGGAAAAATTCCCATTTATCAAACGATGGTTGCTCTGAATCTATTTACCATAGTGTACATGATGCAGGGATTAGTGTGTTAATCAAGCATCATCAGTGGTGGATCCAGGAAATTAATGTGGTGGGGCACGTTGGATGGGACTTGGGGGAGGGAAGCATATGGCCATATGGGATTGAAGGAAACCATGTAAGACGAAGGTGAAAATAGAAAATTTAAGCTAGTCAACAAAGGTTTATGGTTTTTGACTGGGAGCCTTTCCTCTCCCCGTGCTTAAAGGCTGGATCCGCACCTGAGCATCATAAGAGCCACAAAACAATGGCAGATGAATAATGAATTGTTTGTCAAATACATGTTAAGAACGAGCAACGTGTGCTAACCCTTTTGGTGGCAATGTTCTCAAACCCGTTAGTTACATACTCTAGAATTTCCTTGGAGTCATCCCATGAAAATAGTAACATTTCCTCTTTCCATAAGTTTCCAATTAAAGTTACATGTTTATAATTATAGGGAGTTAGTAATAGCCCAGGGGGTGTCCCTTGTCCCCCTTCTATTGTCCCCAGGCAATGAAGAAAATATCAGGGGTCTTAAAGTCCATGTGATTTAATTTGATGTGTCCTTCCTAAGTTAACAAATGATATTTTTTTTATATACATGGGGGCCCTTTAATCAAGAAAAAAAATATTAAAACAAGATTTTTTTTTTTGAAAAAGACAGAAAAATAAAACCAATGCCAACACACAGGTGAAATAAGATCCCTTATGTTTCATTTGACATGCAGGAATAAAATGGATTTGTGGGGATTTGGATTTCAAATCCATTCCAATCCCATATTTGGTTTTTTGGATTGTCCGGATTTGAAATCCTACAAACATGTAGGGAATGTTGGAGATTTCACAGGATTTCGTAAAATAGTATGAAATAAGGTTTTAAAAAATTGCCAAAAACATTTGTTTGTTAATAATTGATTAATAAAAATATAATTTAATTATTTTTACAATTCTTTATATTTTTTTTTCTATAAATTATTTAAATAATAGAATTCAATTCCATACCAAATTCTACAAATCAAACAACCAATGATTTCAAATCTATTCCAATCCAAATCCCTCCATAAAATCAAAATCCCTAAAAAATAATCCTACAAACCAAACGGACCCATAGGCTTTTTTTCTTATATTTTGGTAACAGTAGCAGAAAAGTATGGAAAAACCACTTATATGTCATTATTAATTAAATCGTTACTTATTTTATATTATGTTATTTTGTGCCCCCTCTACATTTTTTCTGAATCCTCCTACTACTTAATTTAACCCATCATCATCATTATAAAACAAACTAATAATATTACCAACAATCTTTACCATGTCATTTTGCTAACACTGTCATTATGCTAACTGAGAATCTTTACCCGACAAGTGAGGTTAGAGCTTATTGGGTGAGAGACACTTATACCATGCTATTTTGATGACCGGAAATCTTACCCGGTATAAACAACCTCTTACTATATGTCTAGTATAGCAGCAGTGGATCAATCATATTCCAAGAACCAGAGTACTAAATCAAACAATTTGGTTGAGAATATATGGATCAATGAAAAAGAAGGTAGTACCTTTCCAACCCTGGGGGTGCGGAACTTAAATATTGCCTGCTCAATAGCATTTGCACTTATTACATGGCCACCGATTTTATAAGCAGCCTGCACTATACAGAGAGAAACCCACGTTATTGACAGATGAATTCGAGATAAAGCTTCGAAACTACCTTTTACTCAGAGAGAAGATATTTTCTATCTAAGTTTGGATCACATAACATTTCTCCATAGATGTAGAATACGATGTTTTTCAACAAGGAAGTGCAGTACCTTGTGAAATAAGGCTAACCTTCTNCTTATGATAGATAAAAAGAGAGGCATCGGAGAGAGACTTGCGAAAACCAAAGTGGAGGAGAAAAGATGTTAACTTATTGTACCATGCCCGCGGAGCTTGCTTGAGTCCATAGAGAGACTTCCGAAGTTTGCAAATATGAGAGGGAAAATCAGAGTTAGCAAAGCCAAGGGGTTGAATCATGAAAACATCCTCATATAAGGTACCATGAAGAAATGCGTTATTTACGTCTAGTTGGCGTAAGGGCCACCGTTTAGAGAGAGCAATGGAGAGGACGGTTCGAATAGTAACCAGTTTCATGACAGGACTAAACGTTTCAAAGTAGTCTTTTCCGAATTATTGGTGAAAGCCCTTTGCAACAAGGCGTGCTTTGTACTTGTCAATGGTACCGTCTGGTTTGCGTTTGATTCGAAAGCCCCATTTGCAACTGATTGGGTTTTGGTTGGTGTGTGGAACGAGATCCCATGTTTGGTTTTGAAGAAGTGCATTGAATTCAAGGTCCATGGCATGTCGCCAGTTGGGATCCTTCATGGCCTGAATATGGGTCGTGGGTTCAAGAGTAGGAGGAAGAGGATGAAGGGTAGTAGAGTTGACGAAGTTGGGGTTATAGTATTTCGGGTTTGGTTTGGGTTTCCGTTTGAGAGGGGCCGAGGAGGAATGGGCAGGTGGGGCCGAGGGTGTTGGTGAGAYGGAGGGTGYGGGAGGGACGGAAGAGGAGGGGATTTGCGGGTGGCGATGAGTGGACGAGGGTGTGGAGTTGTCAAGGGGTGAAGAGGAAGTGTGAGGGGTGGTGGGATCGGACGCTATTGGTGGGTCAGAAAGGTCAAGAGGGGGTGGTGAAGTGGTAGGTATGCTCATAGGGGATGATAATTGGTTTAGAGGTAATGGCTGAGGAGAGGTGTGATTTGGAGAGAGAAAAGGTGGTGAATGAGAATTATTGGTGGGAATGAGCGTGGGGYCAGTGCATGAGGGTATAGGGGTGGGTATATTTGGTGCAAGAGGTGAGGAATCGGGAGGTGAATGAGAAGCTGGGGTGGTTTTGGTTTGAGCAGGAAAGATGTGAGGTATAAATTCTACGTGCCTGGAGTGATATAATGTTTCGGTTACCGGGTCAAGACATTTGTAGGCGGATTTAGACGTGGAGTAACCAAGAAAGATGCACGTTTTGGAGCGCAGTTGTAATTTGGAGGTGGTGTATGGACGAAGCCACGGGTAGCATAGACAGCCGAACGGTTTAAGCTTGGAGTAGGTGGGTGGCGTACCAAATAGCATATCACAAGGGGATTTGTTGTGAAGGATTGGAGTGGGAAGACGGTTTATTAAGTAGGTAGCGGTTTGGAACGCGTGGGACCAGAATTTTTGTGGAAGATGTGCATAGTGGAGAAGGGCAAGGCCCGTTTCAACGATATGACGGTGACGTCTTTCGGCGACGCCATTTTGCTCGGGTGTGTGAGGCGGCGTTGTGTAGTGGGAAATGTCATGTAAGTTGAGGTACGGTGTGAGACCGATGTATTCACCACCATTGTCGGTGAATAAAGAGAGTAGAGGTGTTTTGAAAAACTTTTCAACTAAGGATTTAAATTGAGGGAAAAGGATGGAGACGTCAGATTTACGTTTCATAGGGTATAACCATATATATTTGGAATAGAAATCAACAAATATAACATAGTATTTGAACCCGTCGATGGAAGTGTGTACCGGTCCCCATACGTCCGAATAGATAAGTTCTAGAGGTTTGTTTGCAACAAAAAAGTTTTGGCCAAATGGAAGTTTGTGGCTTTTATTTAAAGAACAGGATTTACAATGAAAGGACTCATGTGACACTTTATTACAATTAAGTCCTAATTTAGCAATTAAAGACTTGAAGACTTTGAACGAAGGATGTCCAAGAGTGTGGTGCCACGCGAGTAGAGATCCTGTTGTGGTTGCATTGACTTGAGGGGGTGATGGAATTGGTCCGTAGTAAACATCATTGACGTTCACTCCCCGCATGAGATGCGCCCCCGTGCGTAAGTCCTTGACCAAGAAATGATATGGAAAAAATTCAACGGAAACACGGTTAGTTCGACAGATTTTTGCAACAGAAATGAGATGATTGCGTAAGTGAGGGACTAGGAGAACATTATGTAATAGAAGTGGACGTGAGTTTGTGGAAATAGTGGTGTTGCCAGTGTGTGTAATAGGAAGAGTTTTACCATCACCCAGGACAATCTCATCCGGGCCGCCGTATTCGGAAAGGACGGGCAATGAATTCTGATTGGGAGCAGTGTGGCTAGACGCTCCGGTGTCCCACATCCATGTCGGGTTGGGAGYAGTTGGWTGAGCGGAAGTRTAGTTCACCATAGGAGCGGGTGAGAGGTGACCGTGAACTGGATAGTTGTTGTCTCGTAAAAAGCGGCCAAGCTTCCGGCAATCTTTTGTCTCATGTCCAGGGATGTTGCAGTAGTGACAATATGGATTGTTATGGTTTGGGCGATTTGAGTTGTTGTATGTGGGTCGCGAGGACCATGAGGGTCGGTTTGCGGATGGGTGGTTTTTGGTTGAGCGGTGATTGGGCTGAGATCTGGAATAGGTTCTGGTGGGTTGCGTTGGGTCTGGTTGATCGTGGCAATGA